GGTGTAGTTGGGGGGGGGGGCTTCATTAAACTGGAACACAGAGCCACGTAGAAAACAAACGGAAGCCACAACAGTGAGGAGCGCGTCAACAACACAGGCTTCACCTTTGAGACATCCTGCTGGTACAAACACAGAGGAAAGCCAAATAAACAACATAAATTGTCTATTAGTGTGCGCGCTGTGCATGTGTATTTGTGCGGATCCCAGGGGAATGATTCTTATGCTTCACACACACTGCTTTGCCAAATTGATGGATCTATTGGAATGCCTCCAGTGAGCCTGAAATGAGAGAAGAAGAACAAAGAAAATCTAACTGCAGGTGTCAAGACTAAAAGAGCCGAGGAATTATTGTGATTTCCCCTCCGTCATGGACTTAGCGAGAAAAAAACCAAACATGTTTCGATTGACTGTGAGACCTTTGTATTCTTTATCACAGGTTTTAGACACATGTCGTATTTGAGTGTTGTGATTGGTTCATTTTTTTCTTTTCCAAATTCTGAATGAAACCAATCACGGTTCGTTAGCAGTATTTCTCAGCTTAGCGTGGTTCAAGAAATAAAGTGCGTGAGAGTCGCAAAGTGGAGAATAAGTGATTATGTCTTGTGAAGTTTTCAGCCCATTTAGACCCACTCCTCGTCAACTATGTATTTATTTACACGCCACACGGTGCGAACCAGAGTGGGATAAATACACAGACAATCTAATAAGAGGAAAGGAAAATCAATTTTTTTTTTAAACACAAAACAAATGCAAACGCAGAGACAGCTGCTGAGAATTTCTCACTTCACCTGCTTTGTCACTGGTTAAAAGGGAGAGGAAGTGAAGGAAGAAGCAGGGCAGCCGGTGTCACTGCCGTTCTCTTCATGAAATGGACTGCTTTTGTGAAATCTTCCTCCAGCTAAGTCTGACCTCGCTCTGTTTCTGCCTTTCATCCTCGCTGTCAAGGTATTTGTGGTTCTGTGATCTCTCCCAGTCTACAGTCGACGAAAAACACACATAGACGACGCCCCAGTGACCCAACAGATTACAGGATGGATCCCACTCACAGGGGGCGCTGTAATGTCTGGACGACCTTTCATATATACATGCATGGAAGTGTTCTGGGGTCTGGGTGGAGAACCACTGGACCGGCTTGGTCTCCACAAGACATCTCTGAATAAATCTGAATCTGATTGAATCTATTCCACTGTTGGAGGGTCTGTCCCCCCACTTTGGGAACCACACAGATTGGATGTTGCAATCAAACTTTTTCCTTACACAGCTAAGGCGTCACTGTCACCCCCTAGAGGACAGAAATCCCCCCCGACCACCGTATTTAATTACTATTGAAAACCTGATAGTGTGTATCTTCTTATCTGTACAAACCACTGTATGAGTTGCTGCCACCTAGTGACTGGAGGCGTGTTTATGTGTTTGAGAGGTACTGTGTTAGGGTATGTCGTGCCATCTGCGGTCGGACGACTGTGCGCTTTGTTTCATTTGATTCCCTTTGATTTTTTTTTTTAAATCAGCAAATGACAAAACTACGACTTAAGAAAACATGAAGCATTTTCGATTTTACTCCCCAGCGAAGCGGTTCCTGTAGCTTTTGGTTCTAAACGTCGTAAGCAGGTTGTTCTCTGCATCCGTCAGCAGGGAGCTGTCATAAATAAACTGTGACAGTTCACACAGCCACCACCTACTGTGACACACACACTCACACACACACGTACAGTGATCGTAGTAGCCCCTTGGCTTGAAACTCTGTTGGGGAACTGTGTGTTTTAAAGAAACATTCTTCATGTTTTTTTTACCTCTCCACTCTTCTCTCCTCCACTTCTCTCAGAAGTTTCCTTCCTCACTCGGGTCTTGTTCACTTCACCTCACCACTAACTACTTTCTCAACCCGATCTGTATTTTCCCTCCACCCTCGGGGTACCTCTTCCACATCGCAGATATATTCAGCGTCTGACATAAAGTGAAAAGCCTATGGAGATGGATGTGTGCCGCGTGGCTCTCTGAGCTGTCACACACCGTGATGGAGGGTTTAGCTTATCTTTGGTAGCGCAGCAGCTGTTTTGCTGTATGTTTGATGTACTCTGCGCTGTAGGAATCCCACACATATTCCTCTGTCGAGTCATAGGCCGTAAAACTTAAAAAAATCCAAACAAACAAAGAACAAAAAAACCTCGCTGTCTTCCGACGGCTCTGATTGTACCTGAAGCCATCGATCCACATGAACACACACGGGCGTAATTCCTCGTTTGTGTAGCAGATGTATATTACTCACCATGGGCCCCGCACGCGTTTGTAACTTTGAATCAAAACTGGGTGTGAATACAGGCAAGCCGATGTGTTTGGATCTCATTTGATTCAGCTAAATGCCACAATTCATCTCAGTGTAATAAAGGAGATGGTAAACAGTGTTAATAGATGGAATTAGGGTTACTTAACTCTGCTTATTGCCACCATACTGCCTGCTTTATTAGATCTGCCTGCCATGTTCCTGTTTCCTCACATTACGCAGAAGCACACATCTGTTTGTTTTGTCATTTAATCCAGCATATTTGATTTCTACTCCCTAACGAGATTGTACACACACCGTTCACGACTAAAACACCTCTGATACAGAAGTGCACGCACAGGGAGTGGTGGTAACACGTGCACATGTTAATTATGTCATTCACAAAAAATGAGCTAGTGCTAAAAAAATAAAATAAATGTCAAACATGCTAGTTTCAACAGCAGTTCTTTTAAAAATCATCTCTGATCTTCAAGCTGTTCTATTTAAATGAGCACATTTCCTAACCCTCATTTTTATGCTAATCAATGAAGCCAGTTATTAATAACTCCCTAACTTAATGACAACCCAATGAGTCAAACACCAGTTCCAGTTAGGAATTATTGTCTTGAGTAAATTTGAATAATTAATAACAGATTGTCTTTAAAGAAGTGAATATTGTCTGCGGATAATATTCTGCTCCAGCAGCAGCAGCAGCAGCAGCAGCAGCAGCAGCAGCAGCAGCAGCAGCCATCATCGTCCATGTTGCTCCTCATGGTCATGGTCACGGCAGGTCAGTAGCGTCATATAGACTCAGGGCTAAGACACAAAGTCAGTGTTTTATCATGAACGGGGCTCAGTGTCAGCAGCCTGCTGGTTTTAATGTCAACAGTTTGGTGGCTGTGGTTTACTGTCACTTCACTGCACTTCACTGTGCTACGGGAAAGGTCACAACCTGAACGCCAACCAAAACAAACAGCGGTTTATTCTGTATTTTAACATGGATACGTCACACAGATATTCACTTGCAGTTTGAATG